TGAAGGGCACTATATCAAATGCAAATATTTTTATCATTACGTAGAGTCCTATAGCTCAGTGATTAGAGCACTCGCTTTGCAAGTGAGAGACCTGGGTTCAATTCCTGGCAGGGTCTTGGACAAGTTTCCTTACTCCACACGCCTAATAATAGTCCCTCAAGAAAAAAACTAATAATAAATTCAATCCATGACTGTTTATGGGTCACTGCCTGTGTGCAATTGGCTGCTGCATTTCACCCACAAATAGACAGTCAATTCACTTTACAGTCTATTCTGTGAAGCGTTTTGAGATGTCTAGAAGACGTGAAAAGCGCTATATCAAATGCAAGGATTATTATTATTATTGATACGTTATAAAAAATGAAAATTGTTAAGGAAAAATATCAAAAATTTCATTAGGATTTAAATAAATGCCTAAATAACAAAGGACTTTGAATGGTTAATAAGCGCCTTAGAGGAGTCCTGCAGCTCAATGGTTGGAGCACTCGCCTCACAGACGAGAGGACCTGGGCTCGATTCCCTGCAGGGAGAAACGTTGGGCAAGTTTTCTTTGTCCACATGTCTCTGTTTACCTAGCTTTAAGTAGAAACCCGGTTGTTCGTCAATTGGTGGATTGCTTTTCCGGGGGTAATAATTCCTTCAAAATAAATAAAAATAATTTGGTCACTCAATCCACAACTGTTTGTGGGACACTGCTGTGCGTAATTGGCTGTCGCATTTCACCCACAAATATACAGTGAATTTACTTTACAATATATTCTGTGAAGTGCTTTGAAATGTCTTGAAGACGTGATAAGACGCTATATCAAATGCAAGGATTATTATTATTATATCCCCCTTCTACTCCCCCTGTGCCGAAGGAAAATTGCAGATTGTTGGATTGAACTGGTGGTTAATTAGCTCCCTGATTAAGTTTAAAGAATAATAATCTTTACATTTGATATGTCTTAAGGTCATAAGGACATCCCAAAGTCATTTACAGTCATTTATTATAAAGTGTAGGTGAATGTGGCCGCCAATTTGCACATAGCAATATCCTACAAACAGCCATGAAGTGAATGATCAAATTTTAGCCTGGACACCAGGAAAAACTCCCTTCTCCTTTGAAATAGCTTCAAATGGCACCTATTTGAAAAGAGAAGGGAGTTTCTACTGGCGTCATGGCCAACAATCTCACAGATAAAAAATGGTCATCCTTCACTTAATGATTGTTTGTGGGGCATTGATGTATATAGATTGGCTGTTGTTTTCACCTACAAATACACATTAATTGCACTTTATAGATCACAATTTTTCATCCCATCATTCTTGCACTTGGCACTTAGTAGGGGATTCAGGAAATAAAATTAACTTTTCATTAATATCTTAGCTCATTTGCTCATTATAGAAAATGGTGATAGTACAGTAGATTAGACTATAATTGAACACTCCTATGAACTACCCGACAGATACCGCTGAAATCCGCATACAAATACACAAAATCTTTATTGAAATTAGGTTTTGTAGGCTGTCATTTTAAGCAGGTTTACAAATCTAAAATGAAACATTATGAATAGAAATCAAATGAATGGAAAGAGAAATGTATGAAATGAGTAGGTAATGAACATAAGGAAAGAAGAGGGGCAGGTGAGAATAGATTAATGGAGGTGCCAAATCTTTTCACTCTCTGGCACCTCCGTACCTCTCCGAGGTACCTCTTTCCTCACTCCCCAATCCACCAACCGGCACCTCTGCTCATTCATCGGAGGTTGCGCTTTCAGCCACTATGCCCTGAAACTCTGGAGCACTCTCCCTCAATCCCTCCACCTTGCCCCCTCTCTCCCCTTTATCAAGTCCCACCTCGAAACCTTCTTCTTCGACCGTGCTTACGGCCACCTCCCCCCTCCCACCGGCTTGGAGTCAGGCTTTGCCAATGTTAAGCCTCTGAGATGCTACCCTGCATGGCGAGCACTATATAAGTGCAAGTTGTTGTAATTATTCAGATCAAAAGCCCAAAGTTTTAGTAATGCTTGCTCTAGCATCTATAAAAGAGTTTGGAAGAGGGCCATTCTTACAAAGCCTCAGTGTGTGTTTTTATTCTTCAGTTTAAGATTATATGAGATTAAATTGTCACTATTGCATGGAAATACAAGATCAATGCTATAGAAAACAATGCAGTAGGGCTTGTGATTTTGAAATAATAAGACTCCTGTCCCTAACCCACCTTGGTAATAAATGCATTCTGTCACGCTATTTATATTTACACCTCCATAGCCCTACATTTTCGTTATATTATTGAAGTCACAGATAACAAAATTGATTCCATCAGCCACACAGTAATGAGGGAGTTATTAAGTGATTATTTGAAAATAATTGAGTTCCAAGAGATGTTGGAATTAATTTCTGAATTAGCTTTCAATATTAAATCATAATAAAACAATTTCATGTTTGGCTTGAGGGTATTCTGTCGTTACTGTTTTAGAAACATTATTATTGCTCATTCTATACCCAATGGAGTGAGGAAAATTGAAGCCATAGGTTCTTATAATTAAATCTGAACTACATAGAGGCAAGAGCTAAATAAAGGTTATCTGTCAAATTGTGTATTTCTTATGCTGTTTGGTTTATTATGTTTTTTTAATAATGATGGCAACCTGTTGTATTCTTGTGGCACTGATCTTGAGAATGATCAAGGTCAGTACCACAAGTATACAAATTAAATATTAACAGTGAAATCTAATTTGTAGTATTTCTTAATGGAACATAAGGTGTAAATAGGAATGAGTGGACTCAGCTACCCCAAAAGCTTGCACAAATTGGAACTTTTCTCTCTAGAGATGAGACCACTGAGAAGAGATAGAGGTATTCAGGAGGGGTGAAAGTTCAATTGCAGTATAAATGCTAGCATGGACTAGTTGGGTTAATGAAAGTATGGAAGTATTTAATAAGGCTGACTTGAATAATCTGTTTCTACTTTTTGATGAGTCCTAAATGAAGGGGCATCAATGTAAGATAGCAAATCAAATCTAAAGGGAGTTTAGGAGAATCTTCTTCATGCAGACTTTGGTGAGAATGTGGAACTCATTGCTGGAAGCTGAGGTTAAAGAAATAAAATCAACATATTTAAGATTAATGTTGATGCATACATGAGGTAGAAGTGAATGGATGTGGGTGGTGGGGGGGGGGGGGGGGGGTGGATTAGGAGGGGTGAAGGTTGCATTGGAATATAAATACTAGCATGGACTAGTTGGGCAAAATGGCCTGTTTCCATGCAGTACAGCCTGTGTAATGTTGTGTAATTTTATCAACCTTTGGGAACTCCGCTCGAGAGACAGATTGCTTCAGAGTGAGTTCCCATTGTTTGAAGTGATGTATTTTCAGTTGCCTTATTAAAGAATCCCATTAATACTGCATATTAGACCTTAGTTTTAAATGTAATATCTTTGAAGGAGAAGATAATTATCAAGCTAACTGTTGTAAAAGTGTTCATGATTAGGGGTGCTCTATGTAATTAGTTTTTTGTGAGGGATTGACTGAGAAATCTGAGACTTCTTCCATTACAAGATTTCTTCAATAGACTTCAAGGCATTTCCATTTGTTTGACCAAAGAGTAAAGCATAAAATGATATAAGCCATAAGAGTTAGTTGAATCTATAAAATGTTAACATGGGTTTAAAAGCAACCAGTCCTATCTCCTGGAATTCCTGGAATCCAGATCTAGAATACCAGATCTCTTATTCTTTCAGCAAGTAACTGAAGATCATAAGATTGGTTTGAATGAAGAAGGCCTTTCAGCCCACCTGATCCAATCCCTCCAGAATACCCACCCTACTGTTATCCCATCACAGCATCAAGCTGTTTTTTAAATGAGTCTAGTCTCCTGGCCTCAACATCCCTCTATCCCCTGACAAACTGTTCCAGTTAATTATCCTCTGGGTAAAGTAAAACATCTTGGTATCTGTCCTAAAATTGCCTTTTGCAACTCTAAACCTATGCGCTCTTATTCTCTGTTTACTTTTTCTAATCCCATTTAAAATTTTGGACACCACCATGATATCCCCTCTGAGTTGTCTTCCCTCAACACTGAAGAGCCCTAGCTTATCTAATCATTGCACAAGGCTCATTCCTCTAACACTAGGAGTCCCTTGTGTTTGCCTTTCTCAAAGGGAAAGCAATGTTAATTTTCTTTCCTTTCTGTGCGTATTGGTTAGCACACTCACCTCGCAAGCGAGAGGATCTGGGTTTGTTTCCTGGGCAGGGCAGGTCGAACTGTTAGGTAAATTTTCTTACTCCACATGCCTCTTTTTACCTAGCAGTAAGTAGGAACCTGGTTGCTTGTCGATTGGTGGATCACTTTCCAGGGGTAATAATCCATCCAAAAATAAATTAATTAATTACGACTATTTGTGGGACACTGCTGTGTGTCAATCCATATATCTATTTACCATATATTCTGTGAAACGCTTTGAGACATCTTAACAACCTGATAAGGCGCTATATCAAATGGAAGGATTATTATTATTGTTGCTCTCTTCTGCACTATCTCTAAGGCCTGAGCACCCTTTTTGTCGAAGTGACCAGAAATGTATGCAGTACTCCAGGTCAACTAAGCTTTATTCAGTAGAGATACATTTCTTTGATTTCAGAAGGCATTTGATAAAGTTTCACAGATGGGTCTTTTCATGGAAAATCAGCCAGTTGAAGGTATGCTCTTCTTTCCCTACTGTTCAAACTGTTCATGAACCAGGAGGACGTCTCAAAGAGCTTCACTTTTACTGTAAAGTGTGGAACTTTGTATTTTGCAGTATGAATGAATGTGTATGAATGACATGCCAGGGATGGCTATAATCTTGTACATCTGTAAAGGTCTCTGCTGCTTATCAATCAAAATCATATTGAATTGAAATAATAGATTAACGTACTTTGAAGAAAAGTCGGCATGCGATTAAAAAGTACTGTCAGAGCAAGATGTTGCTGTTTTACTAACATATTGTGTGTTGCAAGCTGTCGTCATCTGTTACCTGAAGAGACAATTTCCGTTGGTGTCAGTACAGTGAGGTAGGAGAGATTCACCAGCACATAAAACACAGATACACTGGGCACGGATGTTAATATGCAGCGTGGAATATTCTTGGCTGGACTTTTCAGCTCCTCTGAAAAACAGAGTGAAGAAAGTACAAGTATCCAACTCTTTCCTGCGACGAGATAATTTTTGCTATTAAACAGCCAGAGAGCAATCCTCTGGAACACTTTCACTTTACAAACATCCAACAAGTACAATCACATTTTTAGGATTCAAAGGCAGGTGTTTATTCCCTCAGTGCTAGTAAACGTACTGTTCTTTACCCCAAAGGTCTGTAAATGGCATTTCAATCTGCGGGCATTTAATTTTCAATTGTACGGTTGTACAATTGAAAGTCCTATGAACAAACAGAATAGAAAACAACCGCCATAGTTGTTAAGTGCTCCCCTCACTGCTGCGAGTGGACTGTGAAATCCTTGGAAATGGAAACATGCGGATTGCCTCGTGCAATACACAAAGATTGGTTCCAATTTATAAAGAGTCTTTTTCATATCAGACCTGCTGAGCAAACGCACACCGCCTGGGTGAGTGACTACATATACTGCACAGTACAATAGCTGTCAGTGAATGTGAAGGAAGCTTTTAGCATACCTGCTTTATGCCTCTGGAGAAGGCTCCACATGTAGCCTTATTTCTATAATACTAGCAATGTCAGTGTTTCCACAGCCTGAATCAAACCATAATTTGAAATGCATATCGCCTTTGCTATTACATTTTTCTAAAGCATTGGAACTTCTCCTACAATACAATCCCACCTGATAATAATCCCTCAAGAATTAAAATGAAATAAAATAATAATTTGGTCACTCAATCCACGACTGTTGGTGGGACAAATTGCAGTTTCTCCTATGTTTGCCTCATCTCTATTTGTTTCTTCTGATGCATTTGTATTTCTTTCTTTTCCCTGTGTTTTATCTTTTTTTTCCTCAGTGTCATGCTGCTCCCATCAATATTCTGTGTGATCACCCACTGACTGCTTTTAATCAAAGAGTGTTTGTAAACATATTCAAACACCAACTTTAAAATGTTAATTTTTTTTGCATTGAGTTTAAATAGCAACAAATGTGTTTCTCCAGATTTTTTTTTTGCTCTGTGGGTGGAAGTCACGCTCTGGGATTGAGGTTTTTGTAATCTGAGACATTTCGTGTTCAGACCTCAGAGGGAGTCTGACATCTCATGAGGGAGGTAAGAAGAAACACTTTAATGTGGACAGTTATTATTACGAGATGAACAACAACAACAAAATTACATCTGTATAGCGCCTTTCACGTGGGAGGACGTCCCAAGGCGCTGGACAGACAGAATTTCGGAACCAAGCTGGGGGTCGGGATCGGGGTGGGTGGAGGGCAGTGGGGGGAAGTAGGGAGATCGAAACCATGTCGAAGAGGAGGGTCTTGAGATGGGTCTTGAAAGAGGCAAGGGAGGGGGCGAGGCGGAGGGACTGCTGGATGGAGTTCCAGAGGGTGGGGGCAGAGTGGCAGAAGGCCAATCTGCCAATAGTGGGGCAAGCAAGGTGGGGGACGTGAAGCAGGCCGGAGCCCGATGAGTGGAGGGAGTGAGCAGGATGGTAGCGGGTTAGGAGGTCGTAGAGGTAGGGGGAAGCAAGACCAAGGAGGGTTTGAAGGTGAGGACCAGGATCTTGAACTGTATCCTCTGTGTGATGGGAAGCCAGTGGAGTTGGGAGAGGATGGGTGTAATAGGGTCGCAGAGCCTGGTGCGGGAGAGGACATTGGCTGCAGCGTTCTGGGTGATCTGCAGCCTATGGAGGGAGGAGTTAGGAAGGCCTACAAGCAGGAGTTTGCATAGTCGAGCCTCAATGTAATGAAAGCGTGTAAAAGGGTATAGGCAGCCTGTGGTGTGAGACAGTGGCGGAGCTGGGTGACGTTGCGTAGGTGGGGCAAGGCAGAGCGGGTCATGACGCAGATGTGGGGTAGAAACGATAGTTGAGGGTCAATGGTTTATGCTTTATGGATATTGGAGTTGGGAGCATATCAGCAGTTAAAATAGAACTGGGATTGTTTTTGGTCAGCCGGGTGTCAGACACATGCTAAAACCATCACCATACTTAAGAGTATCCGAACCAAACTGAAAGTTCCACACATGGAAATTTCCCTGTGTCTCGCCTGGAGGGATGCACCCTGCTTACCTAACAGTGCTATATATATGTAAATTTCTATTGTATTGTAGTATTAGTTGCAGATTGATTTATTTGTTGGAATGGAATGAATATTCTCTCTCTGAGAGACGCATCCTGTTTACCTAATTGCAGAGAGTATTAGGTGCAGGTTGGTAGGAGTTAAGGCATGGGGGCCCTAGAGTGTACTTTAAGGTAAAGCTGGAGCCTAACCAGCTAAAACTTCATAGCACTGTCTGGCAAAATTGACACTGCTTGTAGAGCTAGGACCACCCTGCCCAATAGGACTTTGGAAGGTAAATAATAACTGAGTGAGAATCATCCCATTTCAATATAATTGCTGGTCTTCAAACAATGTTTTTATGAAGATCTTTCTTTCCTTCAATGATCATTTAAAAAAAATGTATTTGAAACTTTTTATGTTTCACTGTCACTTGCTCGGTAGCCATTAAATCGAAATCAAACACAATAGGAAACCATTTGACCTAATGTATTCATTTTAGGGTTTGCTCCTCGCACAATGACCTCAATTCCCTGCTGTTTCTCTGTGTTTTCCAATATCCACTGTATGATTGTGCTTACTAATTCCCCTTTAAATGCCCCAATTGCCTCTGCTCTCTAACAGCCAATCAATAGAAATATTTGCCAATAAATGTGCTCTGAAAGATTCAATGAAACGTTCACATATTTCCTGTCTGTGTTTCAGATCCTGTTGTTATTTTGTCATTAGAATTGTATGTAATGATTGCCAGCTTCTTTGTTCTTCCTATTAGTTTACTGTCAGCAAGCTCAGTCTTTTTGTTAAAGCTAAATTAATTCTCACAGTTTTTAATGATCATGGATTCTTTGCTTCAATGCTTTGGTTTGGAAAAGACAAGGTCACTGCGAAAGTTTACTTCTGCTATTTCCCAGTATGAAAACACTGGCATAGCTATTCATTGATTGGATATGAGGTCTTTTGTGGGCAAATAAAATAAACATTGCTTATCCCATTTGAATATAATCGCTATTCTTAATATTGTATTCAACAATTTGCCAAATTCTCAAACGCTCTGAAACTCTATATAGAGTACATCTAGGCCCATGTAGAATTTCTTCCCAATACTGGCTGTTATTTATTGGTTGCGCAATATGATCTTCAGAAATACTGGAATGACTCATTTCAGTTAACATTTTCAAATTTCTAGCTTTGAGTATGAAGCTCATACATTCGCTCAACTTTCAAAGCAAAATACTTGCTTCAAACCACAGGCAGCTTCTACAAGGTGACCAAAAATCATATTTTTCAGCTACCCTATTATCTAAAAAAAATCATAATTTTTTTAAGACTTATTAGGTATTGTAATGCTATCACAACTTTTTGGTCATCTTGTATTATTAAAATCACTTGGAGGCAGTTCAGTTTAAGAAGCATTTTTTTTAGTCTAAGGATATGATTGTTTAATAAAATAATTCCTCAGTCAATTACAATTCTTCCCTTACCTGAAAGATAATTGACTGTATTCCAGCCTCCATAGGCCCAGAGTCCTTGATAAAAGGCTTCTCCAATCTGAGACACACTGGGAATGTCTCCACTGAAAGCGTTGGTCAGGTTCTCTGTTCTTCCCATTGCAATAAGAACTACTCCTGCAAGGCTGATGATAGTCAGTGCCAGTATTTTTAACACTGTGAATATGTTCTGTACCCTCGTGGCCCACCTTACACTCAGGCAGTTCAAGATACCCAGGACCAGGATTGTAGTTGCTGCCAGAGTCTTCTTGACTTGTTCAGGAGGTGGACAGCCAGAATAGAAAGGTTGGACAACATATTCAGCAAAGGTCAAGGCTTTGGCGGCAGAAGTTGCTGGTCTGGTAAAGATGACCATTGTCCAAGCAGAAAGATAAGCAGGAATAGAGCCTAACGCTCTCTTCAAATAAAAATATTCCCCTCCAGATGAAGGCAATGCTGCCCCTAATTCAGCATAACACAGGGCACCCAGTGTGGAGAGGATTCCACACCCCAACCATATCATTAATGCCACTCCAACATTCAACTGGGAATATCTCAGGACCCCTCCCGGAGAAACAAAGATTCCAGATCCTATAATTGTACCTGTTATAAAATTAACTCCACTGAAATACCCAATTGTCCGCTTAAGATGTACTTCTCCATGCCTGTTGTCAATTTCCTTTACTTCATTGCTGTTGACTTCTATAGTTTGCTGTTGCTCCATTTCTTGTCACATCTCAATTCCACTGAAAAATTGCAGCATCACGATCCGCATTCAGGAACACAATGTTCTCAGCTTTGAACTTGTACCAGGATGAAAATATTCATGTTGAACTGCATCCAACCTGTGCTATTGTGGCTTAATCTCCCTGCACTTTGCTCCATTACGTTAATAGTTTATAAACTACTGAAAGCCAAGGTCTGTTGAAATCCATTCCAAATTTCAGATAGGAAAGATATGCGCTATTGAAGCTTTTCCTCACAAATAAACCAGACAGCTGTAATAGGAAGGTTTCATGGAACACTGGCCTCCTTTGTCAAATTGTTTATGGTATTGATCTTTTTATTCGTTAAAAACTGTTTTCTTTCACTGATTCTCACATCCACCTAATAGCTGCATCATTTGGTTTGCTCACAAACTACAGTGTCATCAAGCTTTACAGTACATCCTGTGAATTGATTCCTCCCAACGTCAAAGGTGCCATACAAAATGTAAGCATGATTACTATTATTACTGAATTGCCTTAACATAGAAGTGGATAGAAGGCAGATTTGTTCTGAATTTACCCCCCTTCAATCGCAGGCTGTGTTCTCTGGTTCTACTATTCCATACAAGATAACACATCTTATCATGGTTTACATTATTCAGTCCGGTCAGAATCTTAAAGACCATAATTATATCAACAACAACAACAACAGCAAAATTACATTTGTATAGCACCTTTCACGTCGGGAGGAAGTCCCAAGATGCTGGACAGACAGAGTTTCGGACCCGAGCTGAAGATCGGGATGGGGAAGTGGAGGAGGGCAGGGGGGGAAGCAGGGAGATCGAAAGCACGGTCAAAGAGGATGGTCTTGAGGTGGGTCTTGAAGGTGGTGAGGGAGGGGTCGAGATGGAGGGACTGTGGGATGGAGTTCCAGAAGCCCTCAACCTCCTCTTCTCTAGCGTGAGCATGCCCAGTTTATCTAATCGCTCTTCATAGTCCAGTCCAGTCCCTCCTTAAATTGATTAATGCCCAGAAGGAGGCCTCATAACAACAACAACTTTGATTTATATAGCGCCCTCCACGGCAGATGGCGTCTCAGAGTGCTTCACAGTGACGGATCCCGGGGCTGAGCCAGGGGGAGGGGGAGGAAGGTGACCAAAGGCGCGATCGAAAAGAAAGGTCTTCAGCAGAGACCTGAAAATAGGAAGACAGAAATCAAACAGCAGAAACGTGAAATGTGAAGTGACTCTTTCACACTTTGTTTTTTCCATGAACAATGTTGACTTTTGTCCCTTTCTCCAGATTGAAGCAATGGTTGGATATTTTCATGTTACTATATGAAAAAAAGATTTTTAGCAATGTTTAAGAAGCTGAACGACTTGAATATTCATAAACTGTCAGAAATTCATCCAAGAACACTTAAGGAAATGAGGATTTTCCTGAAGGCTTGACAGAAATGTTTGCAACCCATTAAATACAAGGTTAATGTCAGAAAAGATTGCTCTAATTTTTAAACACTGATTCTGGCAATTACAGGCCTTTTAACATCCAGAGCGAGCAAAGTCTTAAAGTTCTACAAATTAAGTGATTCAAAAGCATTTAAATGAAAAAGCAATAATTCCGAGCCTACATAGATTCTGAAAAGGTCACGTCTAACAAAATTATTGGAATTCTTTGAGGATGTAAAGAATTAGTGGTTGAAGGAGAGTGATGGATATTACTTTTCTTGACTTTCAGATGTCATTTGATAAGCTGTCCCAAATTCAGTGTCTATTGTGTCTATAGTAAAGGATTCAGCAGCTTCAGTATAAGGTTCTTCAGCAGCTGAGACTGTGAAAGAAGTGATGTCAATGGACTTTTGGTGTTGCAAATGACTGGAGAATTCAAACTTCAAAGCCATGATGGGATCGACTTATTGCATTCAGAAAATACTTTCCTTTGAATTCTCTTTCTGCAGATTTTCCCTGACTCAGCCAGCCTGACATTTCCTGTTTCATTTCCATCCTATTGTCAACATTTTTCAAAACTTTGAGCAACAAGTTTCTTGTATAATAATAATCCTTGCATTTGATATAGCGCTTTTCATGTCGGGAGGACGTCCCAAAGCGCTTCACCGAACACACTGTTGTTGTTGTTGCTGAATGGTGAAAATCGGAGTACTATTTTTGTTTAATTCCATGCACAATGACAGTCTTTTAAAGGTTGTTTCAATGTGATGTACTGGTGCATTTATCTGGTACTTCTTGATGACGTGTGAAGCATTTACAACCTAATATATTATAAAGTAGAAGCATTTATTGTGTGATACTGTGTAATATATTGATAAATGAGTGGATTCAATGCAATATACTGATATAATTACTGACTGATCCAGTGTAAAGTTTTGTAGTAATTACAGGTTGCTACAGTGCCTATGTATTTATTTGCTGATTCAGCTTAAAATACGAAGAGCTGGAAGTACTTATTAATTAATCTATAGGTGGATTTAGTGCATTGATATATTTAGCCTTTGATGCAGTGTAAAATGCTAATACATTGGTAGGCTGATACAGTTGTAAAGCATTAGCCTTATGGGGATCTGATCTCTCAATTGATATGTAAATAGCCCAGCATCCTGTTTGCCATGTTTGTTGCTGCCTCATACTGTTTTGGTGAGTGATGAGTCAATTAACGCCCTTCGAATTTACATACTGTATTGCAGCAAAATGCCAACAAAATTCTAGCAATTCACCCTAAAACATTAAGCATAAACTCTGCATTAGGATACGATAATTGGCCGCGGTAATTCTTTCTCAGTAAGGAAAATATCAACCAAGGTTCCTGCTACTACTTATTAAGTATCTCTTTAACTCTTTCCCAAGTTGTTAATGCCAGCACTAATTTAAGGAATGCGTTAAGGAGCACCTCAAATTTTATCCCATCCAAATTTATTTTTATTTAGAATGCTTGTTGTACAAACGAATACTTCTGATAGATAAATAGCATTATTCTACATGTATGCCCTGGCATTGTATATTCTGTATGTGATATGTTGGATTCTGTTATTAATGTGTTAAATAATATCTCAAATTATGAAAGCATATGAATGCTTGGCTGGAGAAATGGTCCAGAAAAGAGGGCCTCAGGTTTCTGGATCAGTAACAGAGACTTGGCTCAAGCAAGGACAGGAATGGGAGCTGTATATTCCTGGCTATAATGTATTCAGGAGGGATAGGGAAGGAAAAAAAGGAGGGGTTGTGGCAATGTTAACCAAGGATACGGTTATAGCTGTGGAAAGGGTCGAGGTGCTGGAGGGCCCCAAAACGGAATCTATCTGGTTAGAATTAAGGAACAAAAAAGGAGCTGTTACGCTGGTAGGGGTATACTATAGACCACCAAATAGTGGGAAGGAAATAGATGAGCAGATCTGCAAGCAGATCTCAGACAGATGCAAGGCCAATAGAGTGTGATAATGGGGGACTTTAATTATCCCAACATAGACTGGTAAAGCAACAGCGCAAAGGGCAAGGAGGGGTAAATATTCCTAAAATGCATAGACAACTTTCTTGATTAGTATGTTTCCAGTCCAACGAGGAAGGAAGCAGTGCTGGATCTAGTTCTGGGCGATGAAGTAGGGCAAGTGGAGCAGGTTTCAGTGGGAGAGCATCTGGGCAATAGTGATCACAACATCATTAGATTCAGAGTCCATATGGAAAGGGCAAGGAACCATCTAAGGTGAAGATACTCAACTGGAAGAGGGTAAATTTCAGTTGGGACCTCGCCAAGGTGGACTGGAAAGAAAGATTGGCAGGTAAAACAACTAAAGAGCAGTGGGAAGTCTTCAAGGATGAGATAGCTCGGGGACAGAATAAATACATTCCCACAAAAGGGAAAAGTGGGGCATCCAAACCTCTCTGGATGACAAAGGTGATTGTATCCAGAATGAAGCAGAAAAAGGAGGCGTATGACAAATGTCAAACCCAAGATACAAAAGACAACCAAATAGAATATAGGAAGTGCAGAAGAGAACTGAAAAAGGAATTAAGAGGGGCAAAACGATTATACGAAAAAAGGTTAGCGGGTAACATTAAAGGGAATTCTAAAATATTTTACAAACATATCAAGAAACAAAGGTTAGTCAAAGGTAGGGTGGTGCCAATTAAGGACCAAGGGGAAATCTTATTGTGGAGGCAGAGGGCATGGCTCATGTACTGAATGAGTACTTTGCATCTGTCTTCACAAAAGAATTGGATGCACCAAATGCCACAGTATCAGAGGAGAGGGTAGAGGAAATGGATAGGATAAGTATAAACAGAGAGGCAGTTCTGAAAAGGTTGACTGGGCTGAAGGTAAATAAGTCGCCCAGTCCGGACGGGATGCAACCAAGGTTACTATGGAGGCAAGGGTACAAATAGCGGAGGCTTTGGCTACAATTTTTCAATCTTCATTGGACACAGGGGTGGTGCCAGAGGATTGGAGAGTGGCCAATGTGACTCCCCTGTACAAAAAGGGACAGAAGGATAGCTGGGAGCTACAGGCCAGTCAGCCTAACATCAGTAGTGGGAAACTCCTGGAGACTATAATCCGTGACAGAATAAATCTTCACTTAGAAGAACATGGGTAATAGACCTAATAGAGGTCTTCAAAATCATGAGGGGATTTGATAGGTTAGAAAGGAAAAATTGTTTCCACTGGTGGGTGTGTCGGTGACTCGAGGTCACAGATTCAAAATAGTCTCTAAAAGAAGCAGAGGGGAGGTGAGAAGAAATTTTTTCACGCAGTGAGTTGTTTGAATCTGGAGCGCATCGCCTGAAAGCGTGGTCGAGGCCGATTCGATAACAACTTTTAAAAACGCGGTGGACGGGTATTTGAGGAGGACGGGTTTTGCAGGGTTATGGGGAAAGGCCTGGGGAGTGGGATTGACATTACACTGCTCTTTTCAAAGAGCCGGCACAGACTCGATGGGCCGAAGGGCCTCTTTTTGTGCTGTACGATTCTATGATTCCATGAATCTATGATTCTATGATTCTATATTTGCGATGTTTATACTTTTGAGAGATAATCAATCTCACAAGCTATGAGGGGAGCTGGTTGCGACCAGCTTCGCAGAAGATCCTTTCTCAAGGACGAGAAACAAAAGACTGTTTATAAACAACAAACTGTTTTCATTCCTTATCAGTCATTTTCTCATGGAAAAATGATCTGCAGCTGTTTTAACGTGGAAGAGAGCTGTGATGCATTTTTTTTACAACGGAACCATCTTGCAAAAGACAATAGGTGAAAGGTCAACTAACCAACTGTATAAACGGAGATTGATTCGAAAAGAGAATCAGGAGAAAGAATTGGGAAGAAAAAATAAAGAAATTGAAACTGGGAGTCGAGAACCATATTCCAGCATCTAAAGAAGGAAGATCAAGACTACGATTTAAACAACAGTACAGCAATGCCTGGATACCTTGTGGATGATCGAACTGGGAACCGTACAATGTTTGAATAGCCTTTGATGGACATTAAAAAGAACACATTAAAATGGACATTAAATTGGACATTGCTCCTCTATCCCTTCTGCAGCATTTGGTTTGATCAACTTAAATCGTTGTGAACTATACGTGGACATGTAAGCATTATTGGGATGTATGCTTTTAATTACTTAGAACCATTATTAATCTGAATTAATAAACCTTGATTAATTGTACAACATTTGTGTCAGTCCTTATTTCACCACCGGGTCACAAATTTAACTAACCCTTACAAAATCCTTGCTTCAAAATAACAAATATGGGTGGCGTGGGGGGGGGGGGATGGGAGAAAACACATCAGTTAAATGCCGTGGTTTATTGTTAAACAATGTGATTGCCATTTGTGTCAGTCCTTATTTCACTGCAAGGTCACAAATTTAACAAACCCTTACATATAGTCAACGTGCAGGGCTGGTTTTCGTTCTTTGTACCTTAAGTTACATTATTTTATGCTTTAATTCCAGTAATAAGGTATGATACATGAACTTCTCTTCACATCCTTTTATTTTGTTCTCTGTCCTCAACAATACAAAAGTTCAGATTTAAAAATTGAGGGATTTGACCTGAGAGCTTTTGATCTGAGGAACAATGACGCAGTCATCACTATTGAAACATCTTATTTGCCTTTTGAAATGCCTGATGCCAATATAACACTCACTTGCAATGACCATAAAATGATCTCAATATAGTTTTTAATACAACAAATGTTTATCAGCTAAACATTCATACATTTTATACACAAACGTATCGAAACTTAAATCACAGGAGGTGAAGGTGTCCACATCAGTGACTGTTAAACAGTTACAAGAATTTGTAAAGAAATGTTCAGTGATTTATTAGAAAAGCCAGTGGAAACACTTGCCTTCAGACAGAACCTACACAGGAGCCAGTCACAGGTGAAAGCACTTTATATTCATGCAAATGCATACAGTATGAACTAAAATGTTGCAGGCCTTTTATATGAATCTTGGGAGCTCCATTTCTGAGGTAGATCTGGAGAAACTTAAAGGCAATGCTGAGAATAGACATCAATGGCAGCTCTGTTGTAAAGCAGTAAGAGCCAATTTTGTCTGTGCTCAAAAAAGGGTGACCCAGGGCTCCCCTGCAGTGAAGCTTGTCTGTGAACCCCATTCATTGAATCTTTGTTATTTCAAAATCCTTCTTTAACACAAGAAATACTGCATTTTCTCGTTTGTTTTCCCTCATCTTTTTTCTGGCTTTAGGATTTCTCTTTCTCATTTATATTCTTGTCAATCATTTCTAACTTATTCCTTCGTTTAAAAAAATACAAACTTCTTTTTACTATTAGCATTATGTAAATTCAGTAAGATATTCTTTCCAATTTTTTACTGGCATAAATGATCTGCATTTACAATAACAATAACAAATTGTATTTATATAGTGTGTTTCACGTCGGGAGGACGTATCAAAGTTCTGGAGAGTCAAGGGTTTGCACAAGTACTGCGGGCAGGAGGGGTCGAGGGGTGATGGGAAGATAATAATAATAATCCTTACATGTGATATAGTGCCTTATGAATAAAACAGCAAATGTGACTGAAAAGAGGCTGAACAAACCCATTGCATAGCCGACAAACAACATGACAAACAACATGTGGAGTCCTGTAGCTCAGTGGTTAGAGCACTCGCTTTCCAAGCGAGAGACCTGAGTTCAATTCCAGGCAGGTCAGGGCGAAACCTTGGGCAAGTTTCCTTACTCCACACAGAGCCTAATAATAATCCCTCCAAATCCAAAAACAATAATAAATTGGTCATTTTCAATCTACGACTGTTTGTGGGACATTGCTGTGCGCAATTGGCTGCCGCGTTCGCCCACAAATATAGTCAATTCACTTTACAGTGTGTTCTGTGAAGCGCTTTGGGACGTCCTCCTGACGTGAAAAGCGCTATATCAAATGCAAGGATTATTATTATTATTATTATGACTTGGAAGATAATTTAGGTGCCCATGACCAATTTATTAAATGTTTACTCTTAACTGTTAATAATAACCTGTGAAATTAATAGCTTATCCTACATTAATATTTCATTCCATTACTGAATGGTTAAAGTTTTATGTGTTTGGGCTTCCAAAGCATTGCATGAAATTCATAATTACCATCAGAATGTTGTACACTATTAGAAAAGCAAATATCCCTTTATCAGTTGGAACTTTATAATCCGAATTCTGCTTCTGAAACTAAGTGGATCGTTGCATCGTGACCAAGTGCTCTAATACGGAGAAGCCACAAAAATATAGCTGGTTTCTGTAATTTTCAGAAAGCATTAAAGAGTTACATATTAATTCTGGATTGAATCATGGGCTGCACAGAGATTCATAAAACGCATTATGGAAAATGCATAAAAGCTCGCCCTGAAAAGACATTGCCTATCAGCAAAAACTGACGCTGCATCTGTAGGGACCATATTCCATGAAACTTGAACAATAAAAATATCCACTTTAGGTTTGGGGCCTTTCCTATTTCTGAATGTAATCTTTGAACACAAATTAGCCAGAGATGCTTTTAGTTAATTATAAACTAAGCCCACAATGGTTTTCAGTCAGCAATGTGCTTTGAGTCGTCCTCCTGACATGAAAAGCGCTTCATAAATATAAACTACTTGTATTGTATATTGATATTTATTTACAATGTTTCAGAGGATTTTGCAATAAGATACAGTATAACCCAGTTATGAGGCACCCCTTCGAACATTGGTTTGCCTATAAACTGTGTAGCCTGTGGGCCCCTGACAAGAGGAAATTAAGTTGTTTGTGACCTGATAACCTGGAAGTTGGACAGCTTTTTGTGCGCATGCTCAGTGAATGTGGTAGTGCCGGACGATGGTTTCGCCTTGCTATGGGACAGGTTGGTATTTTATGGATCCCTACTATTGTCTTATAATGGGGTTCTAATGCATTTATGAAACCATATGTCAAAGATTACTTTGCAACAACAACCTGCACTTTTACAGTGGCATAAAGTGGGTGGGCGAATAGAACAGGAGGAGTTCACAGAGATAAGGTGGGGCGAAGGGTGGGGGCATTAGAATTCAGTCAGAATGAAGATCTTGAGTTGGATTTGCTGGGAGCTGTGGAGCCTGGTGAGGATGGACATGCAGAGTTAAACAACAATTCTAGACATGCCGAAATTTTAACCTGGACAAAGTTCTAAGAATATGGCCACTGGATTCTCTCACTATTCCTTATTAATGCAAGCACATAGTTTTAATTCACTGGCTAATTTAACATCATCTACATTTCTCATTCAATAAACAAAAGTGAAAATTAGGCTTGGTTTACCCATGATCATTCAGATCATGCAGTTAGTCTAACACATCTAACGTTGAGACCACATTACAACTTCGAACATCACTCAACTGTGAATTCAAGGTTCGCTCATCAGTGAACATGCTGATATCAAAATAACTTTGTCCCATTACTATACGAGTATATTCGCTGTTCAGTTTCCTTGACAAAGACATGTTAAATTATCATAGGCTACATGTAAAAGAGGCACATGTACCATTGTCACATTTAAAATACCGAGAAAGTGGGGTTCAAAAAATGCTCCTCAGCAAAGCGCCAAAGTTATTTACATCTCACTGAGTAAATTGAGCCCAGAGCAACAACCCCCTAAGTGTCATGCACACTGACTCATCAACTGGAGAAATCTGGGTTGAAAGCCAAGGTCTCATGAGTTGACGTGCAGGGGTGGGGGATTCCCTGCTGAAGAGGCACTCTATATTGGCGCAGTATTTTCTTCAGCAGTAATGCTTTCCCCAGGAGTGCTTTTTCAACCCCACTACTGTTTTAAAAAATTCCTCCACGGTGATGGCATTTGAAACCCAACAAGCATACAAACTGGATAAAATTTAAATTCCTCGAAGGTTTTATTCCTTCCAGTATATGGGTCTGATCACCCACAAAGATGAAACAACGCTCACGCAACGTGAATATCAGTATCAATATTTGTTACATTGTCTTCAATTGTTGCTTAAGATGATAATTTCCTCTAGACATGAGGTCTTTCACTTCAACCAATCATCATGTCGCCTTCACACTTTCTGAGCTGCAAAACAGCAAGGAAACAAAACATTTCATTTTATTGGGTGAAACATCTTATTAAGAGTTGAAATGTACAGAAATGGAACAATTTCAATAGAATCCTGGGGCTTGGGCTTAATGTGCCATAGAATCCATAGAATTTCATACAGAAAGCAGTACAACCCATTGGGTCTGTGCTGGCTCTTTGAAAGAGCAATCTATTCAGTCCCATTTTCATGTCTTTCCCCCTAAATCTCAGCAAATTACTTCTTTTTAGATATCTATCTATTTCACTCTTGAAAGCTAATTTGGATCGTGCCTTGATCATTTTACCCAGCAAGGCAACGGAGTCCTGTAGCTCAGTAGTTAGAGCACTCGCCTTGCAAGCGAGACACTTGGGTTCAATTCCAGGCAGGGCAAAACCTTGGGCAAGTTTCCTGACTCCACACGTCTAATAATAATCTCTCCAAAACAAAACAATAATAAATTGGTCATTTTCAATCCACGACTGTTTGTGGGACACTGCTGTGCACAATTGGCTGCCAAGTTTCGCCCACAAATATACGGTCAATTCACTTTACAGTCTATTCTGTGAAGCGCTTTGAGACATCGAGAAGACGTGAAAAGCGTGATATCAAATGCAAGGATTATTACTATTATTATTATTAATTGGCTGCCGCATTTCGCCCACAAATATACGATCAATTCACTTTACAGTTTATTCTGTGAAGCGCTTTGTGACATCGAGAAGACATGAAAAGCACTATATCAAATGCAAGGATTATTATTATTATTATTATTCACATCCTAACAACTGTCTCTCTCTCTCTCTCTATAAAACAATTCTCCTAATCTCCTCCTTTCACTGGTCAGTGAAGACTTATTTGTGGGCTGAATAGTATGTGGATTTCACCTTTCTTTGCCAGCTTCCCATTTAATTGCTTGTCGGCCTTCCCAACTCTTCCCTCCTCAAGCTGCAGATCAACCAGGACTCTGCAGCTCGTATTCTCTACCACACCAGGTTCGGTAACCCTATCACCCCCACCCTCGCCCGGCTCCACTGGCTCCCCATCCCTCAGAGGCTAGAGTTCAAAATCCTCGTCCTCACCTTCAAGGCTCTCTGTGGCCTTGCTCCTTCCTATCTATGGACCTGCTAACCTGTCCATTCCCTCTGCTCAGCTGGCTCCGGCCTGCTTCAAGTCCCCTGCCCGGCCCGCAACATCATCAACGGTCGGGCCTTCAGCATCTCTGCCCCCACCTTTTGGAACTCCATCCCCCCTACCCTTTGTCTTGCTCCCTCCCTTGCCTCCTTCAAAGGAAATCTAAAGATCTTCCTCTTCAATTGCACATTCGGCCACCCTCCTACCTCTACTCTGCCTGCCCTGATCTTAATGCTTGGGTCCAAATCACTGACTATCCAGTGCCTTGGGAGGTCCTCCTGACGTGAAAGGCATGTTACAAATGTAATTTGTTGTTGTGTTGTTGCTCATTATTTTTGTGATCAAGCTGTTTCTCTGTATTTTTGACTTCCACAATTCTAATCGTGTTTCTTTCTTGATGCCAGACCTGCTATCTGGCTCATCAGCAGTACTTGAGGGGCAGACACATCTCTGGGGCAGGAACTCTTCCCACTCAGCACCTGTTAGCTCTGCCAGCCAAAGCCCAAGACGGTAGGGTGGTTCCTTGCTGGATAAGCAATGGGAAGCTTACCAGACAATGCTTTAAATGGCAAGCTATTCAGGTTTAGTTGGTTAGACTTCAGCCGTAACCCAACACATGGTGCAGGGTCCCCAAGCGGTTACTCTTGCCAACCTGAACTTAGAAGTTAGTTTAGCACAGTGTTTTCCTCTGCAGAGAGAGTATTTTTCCATTCCAGGCAAGGGAATGTCCATGTATAGGTGGGATTGGTTGAGGTATTATTCCCCTCTTGAAACATTTATTCATAGTGGAACAAAACTGGTCTGAAAACAACCCTGTAATGCTTGTACTTCAGTCATGTCCTGTCATCTTCATTCTTCAAAGTATTCATGTATTGGAATACAATGCTTTCTTTTGCTTTGCACTAGTACTCTTTAATGTTAATAACTTTCCCTATGGGATTGCAATATAAGCAACGATATTCCTTGTCACAACACGAGCATCTTTGATGAGCAGTCAGGACAAGCTAAGCTATGATTAAGTCAGTCATGTTCAGATTTAATTTACTAAAGTGAAAATCTCCTAGGGAATCTTTGAATGTTTGCCATGTAACACTGCATGGGGAAGGAGACTGATTGACTGCTCCTCAGTAAACAAGGAAACAGTAAACAATGATATAGTAATCTTAATTTAGTATAATAAATTCTCCAGTCATGAGAGTCAGGGGAGCTGTATGTAAAAATATGCATAAAGTTAGTAAATGTACCGACAAACACATTTCAAAGACAATACTTTTGTAAGGTTTGTTTCCTGAATGGGAAAAAGAGAATTTGAATAGTGTGACTGGTGGGGGTGATGTAACACACATTGTGATGTTGTGGCAGCAAGCATACTGAATGAACAGAGTGCTATAGCGTGTTGGTTAGAGCACTCGCCTCGCAAATGAGAAGACCTGGGTTCGATTGCGGGTGAGACGTTGGGCAAGTTTCCTTACTCCACACGCCTGTTTACCTCGCAGTAAGTAGGAACCCGGTTGTTTGTCGATTGACGGATCGCTTTTCTGGGGGTAATAATCCCTTCAAAAAAATCAATAATAAATTTTAAAAATAATTTGGTCACTCAATCCATTACTGTTTGTGGGACACTGCTGTGCGCAATTGACTGCCACGCTTCGCCCACAAAATATAAAGTCAATTCACTTTACAGCATATTCTGTAAAGCGCTTTGAGACATCTAGAAGATGTGAAAAGCGCTATCTCAAATGCAAGGATTATTATTATTATTAAATTCTGTGATGCACTTTGAGACATCTCGAAGATGTGAATCAGGCGTTATATCAAATGCAAAGCTTATTATTATAGGATTATTATAATGAATGTAGATGTGTATATTCCAACTAATAAGGGAAATGTTCAAGACAGGTCTGAGGGAAAGGTGGCTGTGAATGAGTGGTTGAGAACAAGAGTAGGTAATTTTTTGGCTAACAGTGACTAAAAGGCAAAAACTTGTAAAGATTTGCATAGAAAGCTATAGTGAGCACAAGCTGGTTGAGGACAAAAGTGACCGAATCATAAGAGCTGATGAAGAACATAGGTGTAGGTCATGGTACAACGTGCAAATGCCACACTCTGTCTTGTCATGAACTACTGAGGCTTGTGGAATAGCTGTTTCATTATTACATTATTACACTCTGAATTTTAGTGAATAGTTGATGGTAAAATCTTATATTGTTTGAGTGTGACTGGTGGGAGATTTATTATGATTGAACACCATAATATCACTAATAGCAGCTGAAAAATGTATTCTAGTGCTGCACTTGGACAGGATTGACCTCAGAACACAGTATCTAGTGGAGATTGATTCTGATGCCGTTCCACTTGCACCTGCTGTAGTCAAGGTACAGCCATTATTATAGTTTGAATTGTGAAGACTCATTAGCTCTGTGTTGTTTCTTTTCATCTTTCAAGATAATAAACCAAGGTCTTGTCTGCCTGTTCAGGGGGAGTTAAAGATCCCATAACACAATTTGAAAATAGAAGACTGTCCCAGGGTCCAGGTCAACAATCCCCTCAGATGAAACTGGTCATTCACTTCATGGCTGTCTGTAATCTTGCTGTGCAAAAAATAACTCTGGCGCTTGCCTACACAAAATAGTCGCTGCACATGATAGCAATTATTTGTGGAGTACTTTGGGGCATTCCGACACGGTAAATGTGCTATAAAAATGCAAATTCCTTCTTCAGATTCTTTGAAGTTCACATAATCAAGACTATGATCTGATCAGTAATACCATCCTTGGAATGGTATTCCACATTCAGAAAAGCTAAGAAAAGTAATCAGACATAAGCTATTTTACTATTGAAATGCACCAATTATAACAGACTGTTAGAAACATCAAATGATACATATACAATACATTAACTAGACAGTCCTCCATTTATGAGATATTGTCAACTGCAGCACTGAATGCAAAGATCTCCAGTGCAATCTAGTGTTAAACTGAAATTAATGTATCAGTCAGTAGTCTCCAAGCTTCAATAGCTGGAGTAACCATGTGCTGACATAGAATTCCTGCCAGTATTAGGTGAGAGATGGCCGTGCTGTGCACTGTCCACCTGAACTAGAAATTATGAGTTACATCAAGTAACACTAGCTCATTACATTTTCCACTCAGATTGTTCAGTTAATTAATATCTGAATTTCATGAAGTCGAATTTCTAGGAATTGGATTGTTCACGGTGGAGAGTAGATCATGAGTAAAAATCCATTTGCTTTCTTTGTTGCAGGAATGTGTCGGGCGTGGATTATTTGGCGTACAGAAAGCTCACGAATGGTGTCCTCCCAATTTTGGAGCACAGATATCAAAGGCTTGAAGTAACCTTAGGGTTTTAGCCTTCAGACATTGAATGGTCCTAAAATTGCATAATGCATAAGTTTGGAAAACCCAGCCTTAATTTGTGAAAGACAGCTTTGTTACAGGAACAACAGAAAAACTGGCTTTTAATTTACATTTCAATTTAAGAAATCTCCAAGGGTTTGCAGAATCTTAAATTTAAGGCAGTGGTCTTAATGCTCAGACCAGGCGAAATATTCAAGGCTGAAGTGCCATATTTTGTCTTCCCATTTCCTGAGACTCATAAAGTGGTGCAGCTAATGCAGAGGAGTAGTTGCAGCACTGATGCACAGCACTGATGCAGAATTTGAGGCTGCACTGATGGCATGACAAGAAACGCTTAGTTGTCATTCTGAACTGCAAAGAACACAACTCTGAGAAACAACAGTTTAAGAGAGTCAATAAAAAAGCCTCTCAGATGCTCCCAATGGCACTCGTGTGGCTTCTTAATGAGAATAATACAATTGTGCTGCCAGCAAGGAAGGCATCTTATT